TATATATATATACAGAAATATACCTCTTCTAGTCAGTAACAGCCAATGAGAGCCGGGATGAATGTCTTCCATCCATCCATTACTGTTTCTTCCTTTCAGGGTCATGGGGGTCACTGGTGCCCATATCCAGCAGTCAGAGTGCGAGGGATGGGGTACACCCAGGTCGCAAGTGGTAAATGTTACTGAACTTATAGAGCACTTTTCAAGTACCTCCGGACCCCAAAGTGCTTTACACTAACAGACATTCACCCATTCACACTCACATTCACACACTGATGATGGCAAACTACACTATAGCCACAGCTGCCTTGGGGCACACTGACAAAAGTAAGGCTGCCATCCACCGGACCCTCTGACCACCATCAGTAGGCAAGGTGGGTGAAGTGTCTTGCCTAAGGACACAACAACTGAGACGGCTGGATGGGGGATCAAACCAGCGACCTTCCGGTTCCAGGACGACTCACCTAACCACTCCAACACAGCCACCTTAAGTCCATCATAGGGCACACGAGGCTCTCACCTAGGGACAATTTAGGGTTATCCATTAACCTAACAGTCACGTTTTTGGTGTGTGGAAGTAAGACAGAGAGCCCGGAGAGAACATGCAAACTCTACCCAGAAAGGTCCCCAGGCTGGGATTTGAACAGGCAACCTTCTTGCTGAGAGGCAGCAGCTCTACCAGATGAGCCATCAAGCCATCGTGGAATGTCTTACCAGTGTCAATCACGCTCATGCACACACTGCTCCTGCCCTTCACCAGCATGCTGATGGTCATGCTCTGTATTGCTATTGTGCTGCAGCTGCTGATGGTGGAGGAACAAGCTAAAGCTACAGGAAAACTGACAATTTCTGAGAGTTCTAAATGTTCTGCCATTGCTAAAATCCTTGTATTTGTATAACATACAAATACAAGTATTTCATTCTTTTATTTTCACCCAGTGTACAAACTCACTCCCTTAGGACTAAGGCTTTTCACTCAAACCGTCCCAGAGTACAGAGAGTGCACACCCAAACTTTCACTAGTGTTCTTTTTAATTGAGCTCTGGATGAACTCTTTAGAAGTGAAGGTAAAATATGTCTCTAACTTCTTATTTCCTCACAAAACGTGGAAATCAAATACCTGAAACATGTCATAACCAGCGGCTTCTGACAATTAAGATCACTTAGTAATCTTTCAGACGTAGTTTTCACATACTGTGGTTAAGGCTTACTTTCTACTTAGTGTTCTGTCTGTCTTATTAGGAGTGCTGTCAGGGAGTGAAAGGCACAGGTGTGTGGAAACCATGGTGACCCTCTTCTATAGTTCACACATCAACATGTTTTTTGGCAGATTAGAAATCTGTTTGAATTGCATTCAGCATGAAATGTTAAATGCATACATCAGCATCATTTAACATTCATTTAGCAATTTTCTAGTTGCCCTTTCATCTCTGTAGTGGTCAAGGGATTTAGGGAGCAGAGGGTGCAGCAGCACCCCTTGTTGGGTGACGGAGAACAAGCATATTTATATAGGAGTATGGAAGAAATGTTTTGTGTTTTATATGTTTGTGAGCAGCTATAAAATTTGTTATAGGTAAGGTGATATAATTTCCCTCAAATTAATCATTTTCTAATAGCAGAAGCTCTGTATTTGAAAAGAGAGCAATATTATAACAAAACTGTTCTTCAAGAGCAAATTTCTGATACCTCCACCAACTGGAACAGAATCTGCAGCTCTAATATCCACAGGCAGCTGATGATCTCTTTACCAGACAGAGTAAACACAAAACTTTATCAATATATATTGACTGTCTAAATGTTTTAAATGCCCATAACCTGCATTTCATTGCATATATGTCTTTTAGTAGCATCTATGCTTGTGTTAAAAATATGTTTAGGGACTAAAAAAAACACATCAAACAAATACACTGAAAATGTATTTTAGATTTTATTTACACGTATTTAATATAATAGTTGACATTTTAAAACAGGTAAATTGCCAATGTAAACCTGAGAGAGCCTCTGGATTTTTGTGTTTTTTATTTGAAATGTTTTAGAAATTAATTTCCACTAAAACTGTGCAAAGATGGAATATTCTGGACTGGAAGGTCAAAAAATATGTGCAGTCTGGTACTGTCATCTGGTGGTGAAACGTGTTTTCACACACAGAAATACATCAAATTATATGAAAAAAAGGTTCCATTCATCCATTAGCTTTACCTGTGTCTTCCTTTTAGGGTCACAGGGGGTCACTTGTGCTCATGTCCAGCAGTCACAATGTGAGGGGCGTGGTAAACCCTTCACAGGTCACAAGTCCATCACAGGAAAATTCTGGAAGGACAGTTTTTAACACAACAGAAATACTGTAAATTGAGGTTTTAATTTATACTGAAAAATATTCTGAACTACAGATTCTTGTTTTCAGATTTAAAACCTCTATTAAAAACCATATTTTGTCTTAGAACTCTCCTTTCTTTTTATCACATTTTGGTGGGTTTTTTTTTCATTTTTCTTTTTCTGTTTTTGTTTATTGTTTTTACTTTTCCACGACGTGCATAAGCAAATTGAAACTTGTTTTAATTGTCAGGTTTTCTTGAGTGTTTTAAAAAAAAATGTCTGTAATGTCTTCTTCTCTCTTTTCTTTTAACTTTTTACTAATGGGCTTCAAAAATGTTTTTAGTCAAACTATTGAACACAATTTTTTTGTTTTAATTCACTTCCATTTTAGGAGGAATCAAAACTTAATTTTTGGATTTGTTTTCTGTATTAAACTGATTTCAACCAGCAGAGGGCCATGGAGATGCAATATTAAAAAAGTTCCAGGTACCTAAATTTTTTCTAAAACATTATGTTAATTTTTGCAGCAGCACATTTAGAGACATTTAAGACAGAGATCATTTATCATCTACAATTTTCATTTAATGGGGAATATTATGCATAATTGACTTGTTTGCGGTTTGAGGTCCAGTAGGGATTTGATAAAGCTCTATAAGTTCAGTCCATTTACCATTTTTATCATTTAAATCCTTTTACAATTTAATTCCCTCATCACACACAACCAGAGTGTTGTTTTGACTCATTCATGAGTGTTTAAGGAATCCTTGAATCTCCTGTGGCCATGTGGAGCTGCCTAAACACTTGCTGGTACAAAGCACTGCCTATTTACACATAGCTCCTCCCTGAAGCACACCTCCTCCAAAGTATTGTTTGAAAATGTGCTGAAGTGGGAGCGTCTGAAACAGTATGAGGTTCTTAAAGAGATAAAGGCCAATTTTAAGGTGATTACTATAATGAAAATTCAAATTTATTTTTCAAATATACAGCTTTTTTCATAACAATCAAAGGTAAAATACTGTAGTTACTTCACTGACATATAATTGAACTACAGTCTGTGCCTGGAAAATACAAAATACACCCCCCACCCCCCCGATCAAATCTGTGCAATTTTCATTTTCTGAAATGTAAAAAAAGAACTTTTGTAGCTGAAATGATTTCTGAAAAAAAAATATATAGTTGTTTATTAAAATAAAATTGTATTTAGAGATTTGACAATTCATTGAAAAAACCCAAAGATTTATAGTCTACCAAAATAAAATTTGATTAATAAAATATAATAAACAAGAAAACAAAAAAAATACTGTGAAAAATAAACACAGAGAAATATATCAAATTATTAAAAAAGTTCCATCCATCCATTAGCTTTATCTGTGTCTTCTTTTTAGGGTCACAGGGGGTCATTTGTGCTCATGTCCAGCAGTCAAATTGTGACAGTCACAATTTTTTATCATGTTTAGAAATTAAAAAGAAAAAGAATTGTATTACCTTTTATTATATTTGATAAATAAAATTTGAGAACAGTTTAGAAATTACACAGAAAATACAATTTAAATAAATGTACATAGTCTTTGTTTCTGCCATTTAATATTTTAGTGCAGTTTTTCTTGTATTTAATGTGTACTACAATTGTGATCACTTTGATTAAAATACAAAAATAAAGCTTTATTAGTATTAGAAGATGTGAGCTTCAATTTTGCTTTTGCTGCATTTTTTCCTAAATGCATTCATGTTGGTCAAAGAAATGAACACCTTTTTGAAATTGTTCATCTTTAGAGTGAGTCAGTAAAAATGATTAAATATGTCTGGATTCTGCACAAGTTTAAGCTCTTAAGTGAGGGGGAAACGGACACACTGGATGGGAGTAATTTGTCACCTGAGCTGAGGAAACGCAGAGAGCTGAGTTCACTCTGAGTCACACATCGCCTGCAGACGGACAGAAATGTTCCCTCCGAGTGGAGACTCAGAGAAGCTGCAGAATCAGAGTAGCTGCTGATGATTTGCTGTCAGTTTTCTTTCTTATTGTGGGAGCTTTGCTTATTGGACCGATTTGCATTCCGAGTGTCCCGAGGAGGAATTTTTATTTTTATTTTTAGGAGACAAATGTGAATGAAACAGGAGAAACTCTGTGCTCTCTACATTCAGACATTGGAGGACGGTTGTATGTGTTTCTGGATCATCTGGGGAAAACACATTTCAGAGAAGATACTGAAATGTTTTGATATATGCATATATAAAAATGGAAAACTACACCATGTGGAGTAATTTCACCCAGGTTCTGTCGGAGCTGGACGGGATGAGTGAAGAGGAAGAGGAGGGGGATGGAAGCAGCGGACTGCGTGTCCTCATTGGCTGTGTCCTCTTCCTGCTCATCGTGTCCACGCTGCTTGGGAACATGCTGGTGTGCGCGGCTGTCATCAAGTTCCGCCACCTCCGCTCCAAAGTCACCAACTTCTTTGTGATCTCGCTGGCCGTGTCCGACTTGTTTGTGGCCGTGCTGGTGATGCCCTGGGAGGCCATCACGGAGGTCACCGACACCTGGCTGTTTGGAGGCTTTTGCGATGTTTGGATCACCTTTGACATCATGTGCTCCACGGCTTCCATCCTCAACCTGTGCATCATCAGTGTGGACCGATACTGGGCCATCGCCAGCCCCTTCAAATATGAGCGGAAAATGACCCACCGGGTGGCGTTTGTGATGATCGGAGTGGCGTGGACGCTTTCGATTCTCATCTCCTTTATCCCGGTGCAGATGAACTGGCATAGGGCTCAGGATGAGGTGACAATGCAGCATTTGGAGCCACTATTGGACAGGAACTTCACAAACACCAGCACCGTTGTAGCCATGAGCTGTGTTGCGAATCTGAACAAAACCTACGCCATCTCTTCTTCCCTCATCAGCTTCTATATCCCTGTGGTGATCATGATTGCCACATATACTCGCATCTACCGCATCGCTCAGACCCAAATTCGCCGAATCGCATCTTTAGAACGGGCAGCGGAGCAGGCACAGATCCAAGGTCATGGTGCGAACAGGAACCAGCCTCAGCACCGGGCCAACGATGAGGCCTGCTTAAAGTCATCGTTCAAAAAGGAAACCAAAGTCCTGAAGACCCTTTCAATCATAATGGGGGTTTTTGTGTTTTGTTGGTTGCCATTTTTTGTCCTGAACTGCACTGTCCCCTTCTGTGACCCGCCGTGTGTCAGCGACACCACTTTCACTGTTTTTGTCTGGTTTGGCTGGGCCAACTCTTCTCTCAACCCGGTCATTTATGCCTTTAACGCAGACTTCCGTCGAGCTTTCACCACCATTCTGGGCTGCAACCGAATCTGCTCAAACAACGCGGTGGAAGCTGTGAACTTCAGCAACGAGCTTGTCTCTTACCACCACGACACAACGCTGCACAAGGAGCCACTGGTACCGACTCAGCTGCAGCAACGTCCCCATAACCTGAGCATTGGGTCGGATTGTCTGGAGGACATGAGCGCGCAGTTTGAGGAGGAGTCCAACATTTCGAATGGTTCTCCAAGCTGCGACAGGCTGCTGCTGCTTTCCACTACAGTCCAACTGGAGGACAACACAGAGATTTCTCTGGAGACCATCACACCTATCACCTCAGCTGCAGGATTGGAAAGGGATATTTTAATGCCAGGACAGGTTCTAGAGGATGAGTAGCAAAGAAACTGTGGTGTCGTATCAACCCAGGACTTTTTCTTTTCTTTTCTTGAGGTGGATACAATACCCTTGCCATCTCAGTCAGACACAAAACTGAGATGTTAGTCTGCAGTGAGACATCTAAAAATAAAATGATTCATCCATCTGTTGTATCACTTTAACCAGTTCAGGCTCTTGAGGTGCTGGTGCTGGTTTCCAGTAGTGAAGAAGCAGAAGGTGTGTACACCCTGGAACTTAACTTAACTTAATTTAGATTAAAAACACATATTAATCACCGATACGTTATGATCATAGTTTATTTATTCACACAATTTTTTAGTTTAAGAAGTTTTGGTGAGCCACTGAATTGTGAACAAAGAGCGATAAACATGTAATTTCCTGTTTTTAATAATGCAAAAATAAAAGACTTTTTAAAATTTGGCAAAATGAGTCAAGTAATCTGACATCACTGTTGACAGCAAGCCTTGAGGCTCACGCAGAGCACACAAAGTCACTATGCCACCTCATCTAATTAGGTCAAGATGAATGAAGTTGAGGATTTTGCATTGAAATCTTCATGGTGACAGGACAAAACACTGCAGAAATACAATTTTCTACATATTACAGACAGACCAAGGTTTCTATTGCTTGTTGTTTACGATTCTTCTTTTTTTTTACATTTGTTTAGGACAAGTTTTCACACAGTGACAGTTTGAGTCATACTTCTTTCTGGTACATTTTTGTCTGCCTGTCTGATAAGAGGTGCTGGGTACTGTTTTTCCCTCTGCTCTGCATAATTGTCATGGCAACAAGTGGGTCAACGTAAAATGAAATTCAAAAAAAAAAATATAGTGAAATGCTTTCTTTCTTTTTTTGTTGAGTTATGCTTTGTGTAAATGGAACTTTTCTTTTGCATTGAAGGTATTTTTTCAAATGTATGTAAAACATATGGTTTATTTCACTTTGTGAATTAAACTATATTTAAGCCTGAAAATAAACAAAATGTATTCATGTATTTTATTCAGGTAAACAAACAGCATTGTGTTTTGGAAGGCTAATGAAATTAATGAACACTCTGAAACTCAACTTCCCAGTGTGTTACGTTATGTTAGGTTAAACACTGACTGATGCTGATGTACAGGGTTTTAGAATAATAATAATTAAGTGTAAAACTTTCTCTGTTTTTCTTCCTTTAACTGCTGTAAAATTAGTTTCACCACTTTGCACATAAATACAAGTTTTGAGGTAAATGTTCTCTGTCTCTTAAAGCCCAAAACTAAAAACAGGGCTTTCTTTTTCCAGCGACTGTATCCTGAAGACTTTTTTTTTTTTTTTTTTTGGCCATTCTGGTGGGAAACTCATAATGTTACATTGGCAAAGATTTTATGTTAAAACAAATGTCCTGATGCATCTCAGTAATCCAGGTAAAAAATCAAAAGGAAAAAATTGTATAGGTCTTCTAGATGGGTTCTTCTTTAATGAAACGTTTCGTCTCTCTTCTAAGAGACTTCTTCAGTCTGAGAGTTTCAGGCAAAATTCAGGCTTTTGAGTCCTGCCTCCAGGTGACTGATACTCACATCACATGGCTATCGTTCACACCTAATTAATACCTATTGTTAACAGGGGGTGAAGAGATACTGCCAATGGCAGCGCTGTAGGAGGGGGACAGCTGAAAATGGAGGCCTCCACCTCTGTTTAATGATGGACGGTCTTTCTTCACAAAAATGGCTTCTTTTACTCCTCTCTCAAACCAACGTTCCTCCCTATCAAGAATGAGAACATCCTCATCTCTGAAAGAGTGACCGCTGGCCTGTAAATGAGTGAAAACTGCAGAGTTCTGGCCATTAGATGTAGCTCGTCTGTGTTGGGACATTCTTTTGAACAGTGGTTGCTTTGTTTCCCCGATGTATAACTGGTCGCAGTCCTCCTGGCACTTAACAGCATATACAACATTGCTCTGTTTGTGCCGGGGCACCGGATCTTTGGGGTGAACCAGCCTTTGCCGTAATGTGTTTTGGGGTTTGAAAGCTACTGGGACATCATGTTTAGAAAATAAACGTCTCAGTTTCTCCGAAACACCCGCAACATACGGAATAACCACTGGTTTGGGTCTGGGTTTGGGGTCTTCATTTTCACCTGAAGGTTGCATGGAATCCTGTCTGTGTTTCCTGTCTGCTTTCAGGAAAGCCCAGTCAGGATAACCACACTGCTCCAGGGCCTGTCGTGTGTGTGATTTCTCTTTCTCCCTGGCTCCTGGGTTTGTAGGGACACTGTCTGCTCTGTGGGACAGAGTCCTGATCACTCCTAACTTGTGTTCCAGTGGGTGGTGGAGTCAAAACGCAAATATTGGTCTGAGTGGGTGGGCTTACGATACACGCCAGTTTCCAACCGTCCTCCATCCGAAACCGAGACATCGCAATCCTGGAACGCCAACCTGCCATTTTTTACATCCTCTCGTGTGAACTTAATATATTCATCCACAGAGTTGATGTGATCAGTGAAATGTTGGACTTCCTGGGCTTTAATTTTAACCCAGGTTTCGTCAACATATCTGAACCAATGGCTCGGTGGCACCCCTGAAAAGGACATCAAGGCTCTCTTTTCCACTTCCTCCATGTATAGGTAGGTTTGCAACAATAGGAGAAACTGGAGATCCCATGGCACACCCATGTTTCTGCCTATAATATTGCCCTCCGTACGTGAAGTAGGTTGATTCCAGGCACAGTTTGAGGAGTTGGCACACTTGTTCTGTGGAAAGTGTGGTTCTGCTGCTGAGAGTGGTGTCTGATTTCAATCTTGCACAGACCACATCCACTGCCTTATCAACAGGAACGCACGTGAAGAGCGATGTAACATCAAAAGAGACCATAGTTTCATCCGTCTCCATGATGACATCCCTTACCTTGTCAACAAAGTCCATAGTGTTCTGTATGTGATGTTCTGAGCTGCCAACTGAAAAGCTATCTGAAACTCTCAGACTGAAGAAGTCTCTTGGAAGAGAGACGAAACGTTTCATTAAAGAAGAACCCGTCCAGAGGACCTATACATTTTTTTTACCTTTTGATGTTAAAACAAAGTTTTAAAAAATTCAAAAGAAGAAATATAAGCTGGGAGGGGGTCTGTTTTTTTTTGTTCTGTTTTTTTGCAGTGGCTGTGTTTGGTATGCTTCTGTGCTTTCAATAACTGCTTTCATCTTCAGTCAGAAGTGGAGTTGAAACAGAGCTGAGGCACCCAGGGGCCACACAGGGGACAAGAGACGCTGAACCTCACAGGTGTATTGTAGAGCAGGGTCAGAGTGCATCATCACACAGTAACTGAATCTGAATACTGGAAACTCGGGCTGCAACAATGTCAAACTCCAGCCTTATCCTGCACTTCAAAATTTGCATCTTTAGTTAATTATGGTGCAGACTGAGCTGGAAACCACTGGTGATGATGAGCTAATGCAAAATCTCAGTGGTTTTAAGTGCCTGTTAAAATGTACAAAGGCAGATAAGAGCAATTGAAGTATGAAAATGACATAAGTGATCCCTAAAAAAAAGCAGGGCACATCTGTCAGTTTAGAGTTAGATGACCATTCGCAGGAAGAACTGATATTTTCTCTCTTATCTTTTAAAGTAGAAAAGCTCCGTCTTTGTCTCAATAACAGTCAATTTGTGGGAGAAGAATTCCTTCCATGGAATATATAATATATATAATTCTGACACATTTAGGCAAAAGCTGATGCAAACTGAGGCAATATTTCTTCTAAAATCTGCACAAAACAGCTTGCCTTTAGTGTTCTTTTTTTTCTTAACATCGTTTGTAGTCTTTGACTTTGACTGAATTTCAGACAGACACACATGATTTTGTTTTCCTTGTGGTTTTCTTAATCTTTACAAATATAACTCATCAAAACTTAGTAAAATCGTATCGCAGTGACACAACAACAATCATGAAAATATTTTCTCAGAGTTTATCTACACTTTAAGAACAGAGAATTTGTGTTTCTGTTGTGGAGCAAAAACTATAGTTTTGATTTTCTTTAATTTAACAAAAGAAAAACAACATAAGATCAAAAACATAAAATAAAAATTATACACAGTACAGACCAAAAGTTTGGATACACCTGATTCAAAGAATTTTCTTTATTTTCACGACTATGAAAACAGTAGATGCATACTGAAGGCATCAAAACATTGAATTAACACATGTGGAATTATATATTAACAAAAAAGTGTGAAACAACTTAAAATATGTCCTAAATTCTAGGTTGTTCAAAGTAGCCACCTTTTGCTTTGGAGAACTGTAAACATTCAGACGATAAAGGGATAATAATTGATTACTGCAACAATGCAACATCTAGTTCACAGTTATTGTCATGATATACTTGTCCTCAAACTTGCGTCCTCTACCAGAGGTCTTGGAGCTTGTGGGCTCTGTTCTGTATTTTAGCTGTTCCTAGGACTGATCTCTTCTGGACGGATATTTCTGAGGTTGTTCCTGGGATCTGTCTAAGCAACTTTTTCAGTTTGAGGGTTACAGTACCAAGCGTTCCAATGCCTGGTACTACTAGCATCTTGACTTTCCACAACTTTTGTATTTCATTTTTCAGCCATTGGTAATTGTTAATTTTTTGTGCACCTTCTTTCTGATGTTACTGTGACTTGGGATCGCTACATCTATTACCACTGCCTTCTTCTTTTGCTTGTTGATCACCACAATGTCCAGAAGGTTGGTCATCACTGATTTTTCAATCTGGATCATGAAGTCTGACAGTATATTTGCTCTTGCATTCAGCACCATCCTCGGTGACATCTTCCACTTTGACTTTTGGACCTCCAGTCCAAACACAGTCCAGCCACTTGTATTATCAGTATTACTGCAGCCCCTTGATCATGGCACTCCATGTATGTTTTGCCTAACTGGATCTTATAATGTGTTGGACTGTCTCAGTGGCATCTTTGCAAACCCTGCATCTTAGGTCTTGTCTTTTTTTGATCAAAGTCTTTTTTTATTATTTTTTAACATAAACCACACAC